ACTCCTGCCCCTACTGTGGCTGCTCTGGGTGGCTGGGCCCGAGGGAGTGGGGAAGCTGGCTTGGCCCAGCAGAGCTGCTCTTCTCCCCTTACCTCCAGCTGCGGCTCCTGCCACCCTGCACAGTGCTGCTTGGGGCAGCAGGAGCTTCAGCCCAGTGCTTGAAGCTCTGGCTCCAGGTCCAGCGGCCGTCTACCCGCTACACCTGCCTGGCACGATGAGCAGCCCTTGCAGGCGGAGCGGGCAGAAGGCATCTAGGAACCGGAACTGGAGCTGGAGCCCCCTGCGCTGGGCAGAAGCTGCAGGGCTGAAGCCTCCCACCTGCCTGCCCAGAGCAGTGCCATGCAGCAGGGGCAGCAGCAGCCGTGGCCATGGCAGCAGCAGCTGGAGGCAAGAGGGGCAGAACGGCCCGCTTGGCCCTAGCCAGCATGCAGCTTGTGATGCAACTGCAGCTGCTGGGTGCTGCATGGCACGGGGCACAGTGGCGGCCGCAACAGGTGGCTGCCAGGCTCAGGGCTTGCTGGCAGCTCTGAGCTGGCCCATGCAGTGGCAGCCACTAGGACATGACAGCCCCACCTGGCCTGGGCACAGGGAGCTGGGAGCAATCTGGCAGCGCAACCCCTGCAGCCCTAGCCTGAGCTGCAACCTGCTGGGAAGAGCCCAGTCTCCACGGCCCAGCATGGGCTGGCCCGTGTCTGCTGTGCAGCCCCAGCCCCAGGTGAGGCACGTGGATGGTGGGGCTGTGCCAGCCGGCTCTGGCCACACTCCTGTCCCTGCCGCTGGAATGGGGAGGGGGATGGCTGACGGGGGCTGCTTGGTAGACAGGCAGACTCCAGCTGCTGGTGGGACAGGGGGCAGAGAGGAGATTAAATCCCCTTCCTTCTCTTAATAGCACTATGCTCCTGCCTTGGCATACTAATTTCACAATCTGATTTTTCTAATGATTTAATCCAAGGAGGCTCCATAGTTTGTAGGTGGAGCATGCCATTCTTTTTAATTTGCTAACTCAAATCACATTGCAAAGGGCTCTATCACCCCTGGCTACAGCCGCAAAGCAGCATCCTATGTGCAACACAGATTATTATGCAGAGTGGATAGGGATTATAGTCTTTTTTGGGTTTATATAGCACTTAGCACAATAGGGTCCTGGCCCATCAACAGAGCTCCTAGATGCTATGAAAATACAAAAATTAACAATTATTGTTTAAAAAAATACATGATTCAAGAGAGAAGGTCAAGCTTCAATCCTTTTTGAAAGAAAGTAGTTCAACTTTCTTTCATAAATGGGCTGACTTAAAGGAATATCATCCTAAACAAGTAGGAAAACATATGGAAGATTCCTTCTGTCATTTTTTTTCAAAGAAAAGCCCCAGACTAGTAGTTTCTCTGAACTGCTTCAGGTATTGAAAGAAATGCATTTATAACTTTGTCTAAGGGAAGTCAGATAAGCTGGTCTTCATGGTACAATATCCGGTTCCTTACTAACTTGAACTAAATTAATACAAGACAGTCAGAAAATGATTTAGTGCCCACACAATGGAGTTGCACCAATTTAATTAAATTAAATTTTGAGTTAGTTAAACTTGGGTACATCAACATGACTTTGCTGTCTGGAGAAAGGAGTGTCTGGAACCTAGATGTCCTACCTATCTGTGAAACGAGTGGTGATGAACATTTCCTCACTAGTTTCTTGAAAGGGTGACCTCCAGGATCAAGAGATTAGACAGCAGGCTCTGTGCTCATTCAATGGTTGTCTTCTGTTGGTGCATACGTTAGCCCACCTGAGTGTACAGAGATCACCAACCCAGGTCAAGTTGAACAACAAAGAACTGAGATGAGGACTTGGGCAGGATCCAAACCTGTGACCTCAAGGGGCTAGGCTTCACTTCTTACTACAGAGCCCTGCTAAAGCTGTTCCAATTTTTTCCCCCAACATTTTTTCTGCACTTAAGGTATATTTTTTAATTAATGCTACACAGGCAGGATTTAAAGACACTGTCTGAAATGGGGAGGGAAGGGAAAATGGCTGAATATGTGAAAGAAACAGAACTAAGCAGTTGTGCTTTGAACTCATGGGAGAATCGGAAGGTAAAGGATTGAAACTAGAATTCAATGTACTACATAGGTCATGGCTGGACAGGAGAAGTGGTCTTTGTGTGAGCTGAAAGTCATGGTGCACATCTGAAAAATACAGATAGATCAATCTCAGCTGGAAGAAAGGTGAACTATTTGGTGTCTTCTATCAGTGATTTCTACTAGTGCAATACAAGCTGCAGCTCTCTCGCACTATTTGGGTTCTATTTAGCACACAGGCACTAATGACGGCACCATAAAGAATAATTGTGCAGAAACTAGAATAAATCAGGAATATTAACCAGCAGAGCCACAAAAGGTTATAAACCCTGCAGAATCAGACACACCTGCTTCTTTTTCAGTGACAACTTTTATTTAAAAATAAATAAATTTCCTATTCCATTTACAACTTCTTGAAGTTTAAATTGCTCAGGCAATGCAACCATATGGATTCTGCACACCCATTGCCAACAATACACATTTACTAAAAACTCAATGCAAATCAAGACAGGAATTGCAATGTTAGATTTCGCAAACACAGGAATCTGTTAATAAAGACTGAAAGAATCAGAAATCTAGTGAAAGTCATAAGGCAATCTTTTAAAGGTATCTGGACCCATATTCCTAGAATTTGGGGATTAATATGCACATAAATCCATGATTATGCATGCAAATAAGGTAATTTAAAACTGATGAACTTTGCAAAAAACATTTAAAAAAGTGAAATTTCCATGTCATTATCCTTGTACTACCAATCTCTTGAAATCTAAACAAAACAATTATGTTATAAAGCTCCCTCCCAAACCCTCTTAGGAGAGTTATGACCAAATAATAAATATTTGAAAAAGTATTCAGAAAATTACTCAATAAAGTGGGTAGAAGTATTACCAGTATATGCAGATCTGGAACCTGATAAGCCTAATTTTAGACACAAACTCACTTATTCTGAGAGTATCCTTGAGCTTCTCAAGTGAGAACATACTCCATGAAACTGGAAACTAAAAGTCTTAACTGTGAAACACCACTCACTTCAAAGTCATGCCTGGATATTTCTGGCTTCTTTCATGTAATGGCAGCTTGCAGCAGTAACTCTAATGCAGCATTACTATTCAACATACAACATCTTAATAACAGACCAAAACAGTTCAACTCTTCAAGAACAAAACTTGATCAGTTCTGTCTGTAAGTCTATGGTGAAATGTTGCAGTGAAACACCCAGAATGGGTATAGAACAGTTCTATAAACAGCTTCCAATGATACACAACCTAAATTAATCAAGCACCACCTTGGCTTTATCGCAAAATAGGTGAAGAGAGTACAGGAAAGCTATTCAGTTTTGAACCCGTCTTGTGAATATGTAACTGCATATTTTCCATATGCAAAAACAAATGGGCATAGATAAAAAGAAAGAGGCATCACACATTTCTAACCCAATATAAATTAAGCATCTATGGACTTCACTCTGCTCAGAGTAAATGCTACATTTATTTCTTTCCTACACTCCTTGCTGGTCATACCCCTGTATCACTTTGGAAAAAACTTTCTTCATGTGTTGCTTTAGAAAAATCATGGAAGGAGGCAAAAACACTCCTTTGCCATGTCCCTCACCCCTCCTATTTGCCATCCATCATAATCTCAGTCTGATTATTAAAATTTTTGACACTTGAAAAATCTACCACAGAGATTAATATCTACCAAACCTGCTCCTTTAAGCAGAAAGTAGGACAGCTTCACCTCCAAGAAAGATGACAAACAGCATTCTTTGCTCGCTGCCAGAGAAAGCCAAAGGCTAAAGTGACCTGTCATGAACTGCTCTACAGTTTAGCCATTCAAGTGGAAGCTCTGAACAGCTGGAAATGTTTGATGCAGAAATACAACAGCCAAAATGCTCACCAAGCCTCCTTAAATAAAAATGTTGTAAGTGACATGCAATAGACTGCTGTGCAGTGAGGGTAGTGTGGAAATTCACTTACTTCCAAGATAGCAGGGAAAATAAATGGATCAAGAATGTTTTAATTTGACAAATGTGTACTCATTCACTGGGGTTTCAAAAAACTCCCTCTTTCTCAGTTACTTCCAACTAAAAACAAGTTACTATTGATCTTTACAGTCCCACTGGGGGTTTGCCTAGTTGAGGATCCCTCCCTATTATCATGACAGAAGCTGCAAATATACTGATACGTAGGTACCACAGAAGTGGTTACTTTCTCATAGTTTTTTGTTAATGTTACCCTGATCTGATTTTTAGCAGAGTTTGGACACTTTCAGTCATTTGTTCTGAAGTCTGCTTCCCAAATTGGTCAGTCATAGCATTATGCCAACGTAACCACCAGCAAAATTTGGCCCCGTGTTTACTCAGAATTTTGTATGGGAGAAGAGGACAAGTGTGTATTTGTTACTGTCAAAAGCTTGAGGATTAGGATTTGGGGTAAAAGCTGTAAGGCTTGTGTCTTCATTATGGAGCTGTATTTTTACAGCCTGTCGCCACTCTGAGCAGCAGTCTCAAGGTCATCACATTGCTAGAACATACCCAGAGGAGCAGCAGAGCCTGGCTTTTAGCTCAAGATTTTTCTGCTGGTGCTGCAAAATTGTTTCTGGCCTGTAAAATAGGCTGTTCAAAGACATGCCCAAGCGAAAAGACCTGTTAGCTGAGATGCGTTAGCTTGCTTGTGTCAAGTATGTTAGGTACTCCCTATGGTCAGACAGCTACAGCCAGTGCCGACAGACACCACTCCATTAGTAAGCATCTATTTTACCCCAAGATCTTCTGCTCGTATCTGTGGGAAGAGAGGACCCGCTGCAGAAATGTTTTAACATATGAGGTCAGCAAATGATTTAAAGGTGAAACAACAGAAAACCACATGTACAGATCCTTGTCAAAGGCAGGCAAACACTGGAGTTCAGGCAGGTTTTAACTGTGCTCTCCGGAGATGAAAGGACATTAGGAAAAAAGAAAATGAAAACAGAATTCAGCTGGAAGGTAAAATCTCATAAGAAAAATTTCAAAGGGAAAAAGAAATTCAGGGGAGCTGGCACTTTCTAAGACTGCCACCGTGCCAATACTGCCCCATGTGGAAGGAAAGATTTATTTCTATCTTAGTTATTAGGATGTGTCCAGAGCTCTTTAGTGACCTGAAAATCAAACAGGAAATGTACAAAACATGGAAACAAGGTTGTACCGATAAGGAAGAGAACTAAAGAAGAGCACAAGCATGTGTGATCCAAAGCAGAAAGCAAAGGTACAAAATGAATTAAAGCTAGCAAGGGAGTTCGTATAAGGCAATACAAACACGTTCCATAAACATGCTACGAGTAAGAGAAGAACGAAGGAAAGTAACTTGAAGGGGAAAGTGGGAAATTACAGAACTAACTCAGAGAAGGCTGAAATGTTCAATGGGTTTTTGCTTTAGTCTTCAGTTGTGACCAGATACTTAGTACAATCAATATTAAGCACAGAGGGGTAAGAGTACAGTCTGGAATAGAGGAAGAACAGATGGAAGACTATTTAGGTAAGATAGCCATATTCAAGTCAGCAGAGCCTGATGACATTCACCCTTGAGTCCTTAAAGAAACAGCTGAAACAATCTCTGAACCACCAGCGATGATCCTTGAGAGCTGATGGAGGATGGGGGGAGTCCAGAAGGGCTGGAACAGGGAAACAGAAAACCTATTTTTAGGAAGGGGAGAAAGGAAGACCCAGAGAATTACAGATCAGTCAACCTAACTTCAACAAGTGGAAAGGCACTCAATATCTTGAAAGGGTAACTAGCTTAGTGCATAGGGGAAATACTGTATCTTAACTTTAGGAAGGCATTTAACACCCTCCCACATAACACTCATAAGTGTACTTCAGAAATATGGCTTAAATGAGGTGATTATGAGGTGCGTGTACAAGAGCAGCTTTCCATACTTCACTGTCACAATCACCAGGACTCTCACAGATCTGTCTTGAGTCCAGCTCTATTTAGTATCTTCATTAACTGCTTGGAGGGTGAAACAGGGTGTTCACTTACAAACAGTAACATGTAAGTTGCTTGATACCAAGCAACATCAAGCTTTGGACAGCTGCAAGCCCTCTGGAGGATAAGATTAGAATTGAAAATAATGTTGATAAACTGGAGAAATTATCTGAAATCAACCAAATGAAATTCAACACAGAAAAATGCAAAGTACTGTACTAAAGGGATCATCAAATGCAAAACAGGATGTAACTATCTACATATTTATTTGCCTCCCAGAGTTTTGTGAAGAGAAAGCCCAAATATTTGAGAGTTGCTAACACTAGAGTAACGAGTGTCACCGAAAGCCAAAGTATTAAAACATAAACCTGAAAAATCAGTTATTTGCAAAAGAAAAAGGGACAAAACCAAGTATTTCTCTACCTGAATCCAACATAGTACAGGATAAAACATACCCAGGTACTGCAAGAAGAAAGACTGCAGCCTAACATTTGTGAGCTGTTAGTTTGCTTTGATGCCTATAAGCTACTGTCTCAAAATTCACTTGAGGAGGGGACTGGCATCAAAGCTGCAGTGCTGAAAATGTATAGTGAAGCTGTACAGGGTCTCTGAAAAGTCTTTTGTAATCTAAAAAGTGAAAACCAGATAAAACCATTTTATAGGATAAGAAAGTTGAGGCACAGATAAGTGAAATGTCGTGCGTGAGGTTACAGAGTCAGAGCCCAAAGCAGAGCAGAGACGAGACTCTGGAAGTCCTGATTGCCAATCATGTGGTATAACTACAAAACCATTTCCCCCTCATAAATGTA